AGGCGCGGTTACTAAGCAGGGGGAGGCAGCAGAGGGAGGCGGGAGCGCGGAGCGGAGCAGCGGGCTGGGCCAGGGGCTGGGCCCGGTGGGCGCGGCGGCCGCGAGCGAGAGAGCGGAGGGGCGGTCGCGCGCGGCGGCCGCGAGCAAAAAAGAGGGGCGGCGCGGTCGCTTCACGCGGCGAAGGACGCGCGCGCCGGCGGCGTCGGCGGCTCGCCGTCGGCCGCGCCGAGGGCCGGGCGGCTCACGCGGAGGAAGCGGTCGAAGTCGAGCGCGTCGAGGTCGTCGGGTTCGGGCGGCGGCGTAGTCGACCGGTGCAGGTCCTCGAGGTCCTGGAAGCTGTTGCGCAGGCGCCGGTAGGCCTCGCTGTCGAAGGTCACGGCGAAGTCGCGGCCCGCGGGCTTCCGCGCGGCCGCCGGCGGAGCGTCGCCCATGGACCGGGGCCGCTTGCAGGGGAAGGCGACGGGCTCCGGCGTCGGGCAGCGCGGCGTCGCGTCGAAGTCGTCGCCGTGGAACGAGAGGCGCTCGAGGCGCGGGTCGCCGGGGGCCAGGCGCGCGCCGCCGCCCGCGACCTTCCGCGCCGCGAGCGGGCTCGGCGAGTCCGGCGTCCGCGCGACCTCCCCGAGCCGCGGGTCCACGGCGCAGGTCTCGCCGTCGCGGATGAAGCTCTCCCCGCGCGGCGCCGCCGCCGGCGGCGCCGGCGGCGACGGCGCGTCGTCGACGACGTCCATGTCCCGCGGGGACAGGTCGTCCACGGCGAGCGAGGACCGGTTGAAGGGCCGGGGGCCGTCCACGGCGAACGACGACCGGTCCGCGAGGGAGAAGGACGGGCGCAGCATGACGTCCGGGGGCATGAACCGGCGGCAGCCCCGGGCCGTATTCGGGGAGTGTGTCTGGTCCCGGGCTTCGCAATAATTATAATGCAGCTGTACACGGGGCCTCTACACGCTTCTCTGCTGCCAGCTTCCTCTTAGGGGCTGCAGCATATCAAGAGCTGCAAACTACAATGTCGCCTGCGCAGCTTCTCAAGGTCGAGTTGACGCCGGTCGTCTGCGACCCGCCCTTGCTGCCAGCCGCGCACCGACCCGCGCGCGCCGCAGCCATGGAGACCATCCGCAACCTCTTCATGACGCCAGCCGTGGCCGCAGAGGCCGCGCCGGCGGCCCGCGCAAGTGCCCGCGCCGGCGACCGAGCCGCACATCGCCGACGACGCGAGGAGCTATCGTCCATAGGACCGCACAACCTCGCGCGCTCCGAACGCCCGCGGCCACATCCGCCCGCTTACGGCCGGGCGCGCGCGCTCTTTGATACCGTGGTGTCGATCGAGTTTCCGGGGCGGCGCCGACTACTGCTCGACGTTGATGAAGAGGAAGGAGCCGATGATGAGGCCGACGGCGAGGACGGCGCCTGCGTTGCGGCGCGTCGGCCGCGCGCGCGCGCGGGGATCCGCGGGACGCCGCCGCCGCGCCGACGCCGAGCGCGACGACGCTGCCGCCGCCGCTCTTCGACTCGACCTGCGCGGGCGCGGGCGCGTCGGTGACGCGCGTCCCGCGGTCCGAGAGCACGCGCCTGCATCTTGGGCTCGACGGCCCAGATGTTCGACTTGCCGTCCTGATCGATAGAACTTCCGAGGCGGCCCTTGCCCGTCATGACCTCGGGCGCGCCAAAGTCCTCGTCGGTGTCGAAGAGGACGAAGCGCGAACGCCTCGGGGCCTGCGGGGGCGGCGGACGAGGCGTCGAGCGGCGATGTGCTGTCGTGTCGAGCGGCGCGCGGCGATGTGCTGCTGGAGCGCCGCTCGCGGTTTGTTTCGGCGCCGGTTTTTCACCTGGTGGACGGCCAGCGAGCGCGCCGGCGCCTGGAAGGCGTCGACGGCGCCGGCGGCGAGGAGCGCGATGAGAGCGAGGACGCGCGCCATGTTGAGTGGGCAGACTCTGAGGCAGACAGGACGGCTGACGAGCGTGCCGCGATCTGCGACCGCGGCACCATTCACCTTGCAGGGCGCGCCGCGCCGTCGCACGCCGCAGCCCGCACCCAATGCTGCTGCGCCACGCCGGCGCCGCGTGCCGGCGGCAGTGCTCGCAGCCGCGCGCCGCGAAATGCTTCGCGACGTCGCCGGAGCCGACCTTCGGCGACCTCGCCCGGCGGCTCGGCGCCGCCGAGGGCGCCGCGGCGCCGCGGCGCGCGCCGGCGCGCCGAAAGCCCCTGGCGCCGGCGGCGGAGCGCCTCGAGGCGCGGCACCGGCGCGGCCTGGGCGTCGTGCTGCTCAAGGCCCAGGCGCGGGTCGAATATGCGCTCTCGGCGGCCTTCGACGAGCGGCGGCGCCGCGGCGACCGCGCGCTCGACGCCGTCCACGTCTCCGAGGTGCGCCTCGCGCCGGACTTCCGCCAGGCAAACGTCTACTGGCACCTCGACGCCGCCGAAACGGCCGCGCGCGCGCCGCGGCCGCCGTCGCGCTTCTTCGGCGACCCGCTCCCGGACGACGGCGGCCCGGCCCCGGAGGACGCCGCGGCGCCGCGGCGCCGCGCCGAGGCGGCGCTCGCGCGCGCGGCGCCGGCGCTCCGCATCGCCGTCGCGCGCCGCGCGCGGCTCCGCTTCGCGACGGACCTCCGCTTCCAGTACGACGCGCGCGCCAGCGCCGAGCGCTTCTCGCCGGACCACCTCGGCGCGAGCCTCGGCCGCGACCTCGACGACGGCGCGGCCTAAAGGCGGGTCTTTTTTTCTCCTCGAACGAGGGGCTGCGTGGGTTGAAGTCGTGGGTGAAGTCGAAATTGCCACAAAATCACTTTGAGAGCCGATGGCGCTGCTCGCGGACGACGGAGTCGCGGCCTACGTGCACGCCCTCGCCCTGCCGCGCTTCGAAGGCGCGACCGTCGACGACCTGGCCGCGACGCCCATCGCCGGCGGCAACCTGAACTACGCCTGGCGCTGCGCGTCGGGCGCCGCGAGCGTCTTCGTCAAACAGGCGCCGGACTACATCAAGTGCCTCGGCGAGGCCTACGGCCTGACGTCGAAGCGCATGGGCGCCGAGGTCGCCGCGCTCCGCGAGCTCGGCCGCATCTCGCCGCGGCACGCGCCGGCGGTGCTCGCGTACGACGCGGACCGCCAGATCGTCGTCATGGAGGACCTCGCGGGCTTCGGCCACCTCCGCGACGAGCTCCAGCGCGGCGCCTGCCGCGGCGGCGTCGCCGCGGACCTCGGCGCCTTCCTCGCCAAAGTCCACGACGCGACGAAGGGCGGCGCCGCGGCGACCTACGCGGACGCGTTCGGCGACGACAACAACGGCGCGATGCGCGGCGTCACGGAGGCCTACGTCTTCGCCAAGCCCTGGGACGCCGGCGACGAGACGAACCGGGACCTGGGCGGGAGCCCGGCCCTCGCCGCGCGCGTCGCCGCGCTCCGCCGCGACCCCGCGGCGCTCGAGGCCGCGGCCGCGGCCGCGGCCGCGTTCGCGGCGCGGCGCGAGTGCCTCTGCCACGGCGACCTCCACGCGGGCTCCGTGATGACCGACGGCGCGGACCGCTGCGTCGCCATCGACGCCGAGTTCGCCTGCTACGGGCCCGCGGCCTTCGACGTCGGGCTGCTGCTGGCCGGCTACGTGTTCGCGTACTGCGCGTCCGACGCGGCCGCGCCGTCGCCCGGCGACGCCGCGGCGCGCCGCCGGGGCTGCAAGGCCTGCGTCGAGGCGCTCTGGGCCGCCTACGCCGCGGGCCGCGGCGACGCGGACCAGGCGTTCGCGGCGGCCGTGGCCTTCTCGTCCGCGGAGCTCTTCCGCCGCGCCGTCGGCGCCGCGTCCGTGCCGGACCTCGCCGACATCGCCGACGCGGGCGACCGCGAGACCGCCGAGCTCCTCGCCGTCGAGATCGCCGCCGCGAACCTCACCATGCCGCCGGCCGACGCGGGCGCGCTCGTCCTCCGCCTCGACTCCGTCTACGACGCCGTCGCGCACGCGGGGCGCGTCGCCAATTGAGGAGGAGGGGGGGGGGTTGTTCCTTTTATAGCACGGTGGCCGCGCGAGGCGCCGCTCCAGGCGGAGTGCAGCGCCGACACCGGCTCAAATCTCGGCTAGTGTCGTGACTTTTGTCGGTGCAAGGTCACTGCAATAACGCATGGTGCACCTCGATAAGTACTGAAGCGGCTCGCCTGTGTCGATTGGCAAGGAGCCTCGTCGTGTGTCGCGCGCCGCGCGCGACAACAGACCCCGCGAAACGTGCCCCTGCTGCGCGGAACGCGCCCTTGACAGCGCCGCCTCGCGCGAAGTGCGCTCGAGCAGCATGGCTTCGAGCGGCATTGATTCGACGGTGTGGTCTGTGGCGGGGCGCGGGGACCACGAAGCTCTCGAACGCTACCTCGCTGAGGGCGGCGATCCGGACGAGGAAGATCCGGACGAGGCGTCCGGTGGTGGCACGCCACTGTTCTTCGCGGCGATGGACGACGACACGGGACCGTCCACCATCCGCCTCCTGCTCGCGTGGGGCGCGAAGGTGGATCGTATGACCAGGTTCGGGTGGACCGGGCTCCACGCCGCGGCGCAAACGAAAAGTCCGCGCTGCGTGGCGGCCCTCATAGCTGGAGGAGCTGACGTGAACCTGCAAAAGGCTGACTTCACTGGAGAGTACCCGCTACACGAAGCGACGAAGAGCAGCTCTGAAGAAGAAGGCAGTAATGCGATCGAATGCGTCCGCCTGCTGCTCGCAGCGGGTGCGGATCCGAATGCGCGATCGAAAAGACTGTCCTCGGTTCGTCAGGACGTGACGCCGCTCTGGTGTGCGCTCGTCGGCGATGCCGACCGGGCTAGCCGCACCATCGTCTGCATGCTGCTCCGCGCGGGCGCCAAGGTGCTTGACGGCCCAAAGTTTGCCGCTAAGGAGCTCCCGGACCCAACGATTTTCCCCAAACAGTCCGGTGTTCGTGGCGTGAATTACAAAGAGGAGATCAAGTGCCCGTCTGCATGGGACAAGGTCCATGCGATCAAGGCCGCGAAGGGGTGGAAGCGCTTCGCCGCGCGCCATCGGATCGTCAGTGGGCTCCTCATCACGCGCTGCGTCGGCGACGCGCTGCCCCGCGAGGTCCGGGCGCTCATCGGCGAGTTCTGGGCGCCGCTCGGCGGATCCTAGCCTCGCTTGTTTGCGTCGTACGATTGCGATCTAAGCGACCGCACTGCTCAAGGGTTTGCCGCGACGCTCGCGTAGACCGCCGAATTCTCGGTTCCTAAGCCGTCCTGTAACTCTCCGTCGTCCTCGGCGCTCCTCGAAATAACGACGGCCGCCGCGTGAAGCGACCCCGGCCCAACGTTGCGAAAAATAGACGACTTAAGACGAGCGATCGACGACGGCGACGCGGCCGAGCGTCGCGAGGTGGGCCCGCGCGGCGAGCAGCGCCGTGGGCCCGTCGGCCGAGGGCCGGAGCGTCGGCACGGCCGCGGGCTTCGACGCCGGCCCCCGCCAGGCCGCGGCGTAGTAGGAGAGGTCGCCCTTGAGGCTGAGGTCGAGGAGCACGTCCGCGTCGAGCGCGGCCATGGCGCCGGCGAAGTCGACGGGCGCCGCGTAGAGCGCCCCTAAATCCACGAGCGCCGGTGGCCACCAGACGTCCGGCGGCGTGCCGGCGACGGCGCCGCCCGCCGCGCAGGAGAAGAGCGGCACGCGGGGCGGCGACGGCGCGGGTATGTGTGTTTTCAACCGCGTCGCGTCCGTGGAGACGTCGTGCAAAGGGGAATGGTACGCGTTGCGCACGCCCCGGAGGAGCGCCGCGGTGCCGCCCCGGTCCTCGACGTCGCGCGCGAGGTCGGCTACGGCGCCGCGCGGCCCCGCGACCATGAAGTTGCCGCGGCCGTAGGTCGCCGCGACGACGAGGCGCGCGTCGCCCGCGCGCGCGACGGCCGCGTCGAGCGCCGCGCGGTCCGAGCCGCCGACGGCCGCCATCGCGCCGACGCCGTCGCCCGCTTCGCCGGCGTCGAAGTTCGCGTAGGACGTCGCCGCGAAGAGCTCGGCGACGTCGCGCGTCGCGAGGCAACCCGCCGCGACGGACGCGGCGAGCTCGCCGACGGAATAGCCCAAAACGGCGTCGGGCGCGAGCGCCCAGTCCTCGGCGACGACGGCGTAGAGCGCGCTCTGGATCAGGAACGCGAGCGCGTTGCGCGTCCGCGCACTTAGCGCCGCCGGCGCCGCGTCGAGGAGCTTTGGAAGGTCGCGGAAGTCGCCGAGCCCCGCGGCCGCGAGCTCGTTTGCGACGCGCGACGCCGTTTCTCGGAACGTCGGCGAGGTCGCGAAGACGTCCGCGGCGCAGCCGGCGTAGAGCGACTCCCCGCCGAAGACGACGGCGACGCGCCGCCCGGCGAGGCCCGCGCGCCAGGAAACGGGGACCTGGGCAGCAAAAGGGTGCGAAATTCCCAACTTCAAAGGCTCCGATCTCGGCCGTTTTCCACTCGTTTCGGCTGATTTTTGGACGAGCGATCATCTCTCGGAACGGTCTCGAAGCGTGGATGCTTTTTTCGGAACGCGCGCGCGCGGAACATTCATGTTGAAGTGAAGTTGAATCACCCTTTTGCTGCCCTGACGGGGACGACGCCGGGGTGCGGCGCGCCGCTGGCGAGCGCGGCGAGCGCCGCGGCCACTTCCCCGGCGCTCCGGCCCGCGGCGGCCGCGGCGACCGCGCCCTGCGGGATGTCAGCGCGGGGCGCCGCGCCGCGCCGCGCGGCCGCGACGAGGGCCGCGGCGGCGGCCCGCACGTCGCCGTCGTCCGCGCCGGCGACGACGACGACGGCGTCCGCCGCGGCCGCCGGGCGCCGCGACGCCGCGTAGACGAGAGCCGCCGCGGCGAGCGCCGGCGCGGCCGCGGGCCGCGCGGCGCACGCGGCCAGGGCGCCCGCCACGATATCCCACCGCACGGGCGTCGCCGGAACCCGCGGCGCGTCGCCGTCGGCGACGACGCTCACCCCGTCGCTTTCGTGGCGCCACTCCGCGTCCGCGCGCGCGGCCCAGCGCGGCGTCTCCGCGCCCTCGCGCGCGCAGGGCCGCGCCGGGTTGCCCTGAAACCAGGCGACGCGGGCGCCCGGCGGCACGACGGCGCCCGGCGCGGGGCCGTACCGCCCCCGGAGGCACATGGACCCCGGCCCGACGACGGCGCCCCGCGCGACCGTCGCGCCGGGCAGCACGGCGCAGACGCTGAGCACGCTCGCGTCGTCCTCGATGGCGCAGCGCCGGAAGGCGAGCAGCCCGCTCCCGGCGAAGTCGTGGGCGTAGACGGAGCCGGCCGTCTCGACGTAGCAGCGGTCGCCCGTCGCGATGACGTCGTGGTCCGGCGGGCCGACGCGTCCGATGCGGCTGCAAGTCCCGACGGTCGCGCCGAGACGCCGCCAGAGCATGGCGTAGACCTCCGTGTAGGCCAGGGGCTGGAGCCAGGCGTCGACGTTCAGATTCACGCGGAACTGCGCGAGCCAGCACGCCGCGCCGAGCGACCGCGCGTCCCAGAGCGTCGCGCCTTCGTCGCCGTGCGGCACGAGCCGCCCCAAAAGCAGCCACTTCTGCGCGACCATGTGGGCCGCGACGAGCGCGCCCACGCCGAGGCGCAGGAGCGGGCCGACGAAGAACGACGCGCCGACGGCCGCCGCGGCCGCGGACCCGCGCGCCGCGGGGACCCAGAGGCCCAGCACCTCGCCCGCGGGCCGCCGCGCGGCGTCGAGGCCCGCGGCGACGGCGGCGAAGGCCAAGACTTCCACGCATAGACTCGCGAGCAGCAGCGACGATAAAACGGCGTGGTAGGCCGCCGCGGGGATCTTCCGCCCGAAGTCCGTGGGCTTCTCCGCCGACGCGCCGCGGTCGCCGCGGCGGAACGCGAGGCGCTTCTGCGACACGGCGGGCAGCCCCAGCAGGGACGTCTCCGTGTCGACGACGCCGCCCGCGGGCACGTAGGCCATGTCGGCGACGGCCGCGCGCGCTCCCACGTCCGCGCCCGGCCCTAAGGTCGCGCCGAAGCCCACGTAGGCGCCCGCGCGCACCGTCACGCTTTCCAGGCAGAGCTCGGACCCCCGCACCTGCGCCGTCACGAGCTGGGGCATGCCCGCGAGGAAGGCGTCGGGCCCCAGGGTCACGAGGTGCGCCGACGACCCGCAGAGGTCGCGGAGGAACGCGACGTTCGCGGACCACGCGACGTCCGCGCCCAAGCACCGCAGCCACGCGTTCTGCAAGATGGAGCTCCGGAAGAGCGAGTCGACCCAGGCCGTGCCCAGGCCGCAGGCGCGGTCGACGTACTCGAGGCGCGCGACCGTGCGGAGCGTGAAGGGGAGCCGGGATGTCGTGGCGTCGACGAGAAGCGCTTTCGCGGCGAGGCCGTGGCCGCACAGCGCGAGGCCGACGGCGCCGTAGGCCAGGAGCGCGGCCTCGGCGAGCGTCGCCGCGGCGCCCCGCCGGCTCAGCATCGCCGCGAGCAGGCCGTCGTCGATGACGGCGTCGAGGAGCGCCGCGGGCACGAAGGAGCGGAAGACGCGCGCGCCGACGGCCGCCGCGAACGCCGCGGCCGCGAGCAGCGCGCCAAAGCTCGCGAGATCGACGGCGGAAGACTCAAAGGCCGCGTGGCGGTAGAAGAGGCGCGGCTCCCGCGGCGCGTCCGCCGCCGGCGGGAAGACGGTCGTGCCGCGCGCGGACGACCGCGGCGCGAGCCGGCCCTGGCAGAACGCGCGGCCGGCCACGAGGCACCCCGCGCCGACGTCCGCGCCGCCGGCGACGACGGCGTCGGCGCAGACGCGCGCGCGCGCGCCGACGCGCGCGGCCCTCGCCCCGAAGCGCGTGCCCGCGTCGTCCGCGCGCGTCGGCCGGAGGTGGCTGTGGCGCTCGAGCACCGCGCCGTCGCCGACGAAACAGAGATCCGGCGCGTCGCTGAGCGCGCCCGCGCGGCCGACGACGACGCCGTCGCCGAGCGTCGCGCCGAGGCGCCGGTACCACGCCGCGAGGAGCGGCGACCCGTCGAAGTAGGCGAGCACGTTCTCGTCCGCCGCGCGCAGCGCCGCGCCCGCGACGTCGCAGCGGAACGTGTACCAGGACCACTGCGACTCGTCGAACGCGGGCCGGTAGGTCCCGACGAGCGCCCACTTGGCGCCAAAGGCCACGGCGAGCGTCGACAGCGCGTAGACGGCCGCGAGCGCCGCGAGGCGAAGCCACGCGGCGAAGAACGCGCCGTCGCGGACCGCGGCCTCGAGGCCGAGGGCCTCGGCCGCGGCCAGCACGGCGCCGTAGGTCAGCCCGTGGCGGAGCGCGCCCGCGTGGGCCTTGGCGAGGCCCCAGAGGAAGATGAAGACGGAGCCGGGCGTCCGCGCGATGTTCAGCGCGCCCTCGGCCGCCGCGCGGTCGACGCCGCCGCCGCCGCGGGCCCGCGGCGCGCGCGCCGCGCGCCGCGGCGCCGCCGTCCGCGCCGCGGGCCGCCGCCGCGCGACGACGGCGACGAGCTCCCCGAAGGTCTCGACCTCCAGGAGAAGCATGGGGCTCGCGTCGACGCCGAGGCCCTCGGACACGCGCCGCGCGACCTCGGCGCCGTCGATGGAGTCGAGCCCCAAGCTCCGGAGGCTCGTCGCCGCCGTCGCGGCGGCCGCGTCGCCGCAGAAGTCCGCGAGGATGTCCCGCAGCCGGGCCGCGACGTCGCCGCCGGGCGCCGCGGGCGCGGCCGCGCCCGTCGCCGCGCGCACGCGGTCCGCCAGGGCGCCGAAGGTCTCGACCTCCAGCAGGAGCATGGGCGACGCGGATATGCGAAATCTGTCCGCGACGTCGGCCGCGACGGCCGCGCCGTCGATGCTGTCGAGCCCCAGGCCCGCGAGCGACGTCGCCGCGTCGAGCCGCGCGGCGCCGTCGCGGAGGTAGGGCCGCAGGAGCGCGCCGAGCGCCGCGTCGACGTCCTCCGCGCGGCCGTCGTCCGCCTCGTCCGCGTCGTCCGCCTCGCCGCCGTCCGCCGCCTCGTCGTCCGCCCCGCTCGCCGCCTCCGGCGCCGCCCGCTTGACGCGCTCCACGAGCTCCCCGAAGGTCTCGACCTCCAGGAGGAGCATGGGCGACGCGGCCGTCGAGAAGCGCGCGGCGACGTCGGCCGCGACGGCCGCGCCGTCGATGGAGTCGAGGCCCAGCCCCGCGAGCGACGTGCCGTCGTCGACGGCGCTCGACGCGTCCCTCAGATAGGGCCGGAGCACGCTCCGGAGCGCGTCGTCGACGCGCTCCGCCGGCGCGGCGCCCTTGCGGCTCGCCGCCGCGCGCCGCGACGCGGTCCGCGGCGCCTCGACGGCCGCCGCGCGCTCCGAGACCACGCCCTCGAAGAAGCGCCGCCGGAGGTGGCTCGACCGCGCGTCGCGGCGCAGGAACGGCCCCTGGAGCCGCGCGACGGCGACGACCGGCGGCCCCGGCGCCGCGAGCGCGGCGCCGAGGCCGCGGAACGCGTCCTCGTCGCTCAGCGGCGACCACGCGGACCGCTGTTCCAGGCGCTCCCGCATCGCCGCGGCCATGCCCCGCTCGGCCCAGGGCCCCCACTGAACACTTCTGATCCCGGCCGTCGCGCGCGCGAGCGCGTCGAGGGCGCCGTTCGCGGCGCCGTAGGTGCACTGGCCCGCGTTGCCCATGAGCGCCGTCACGGACGAGAACAGGAGGAAGAGCGCCGCGTCGCCGCAGTCGCGGGCCAACACCAACGCCGGCCGCACCTTGGGCCGCATGACGGCCTCGAGCTTCGCCAGCTCCTCCTGGGCCAGCGCCGCGTCCGCGAGGAGCCCCGCGGCGTGGACGACGCCCGCGACGGGGCCGAGGTCGGACAAGGCGCGCTCGAGCGCCGCGTCGTCGCCGACGTCGACGGCGAGCGCCTCGACGGCGGCCCCGGCGCGCCGCGCCGCGGCGTCCAGGTCGTCGCGGCCGGCGACGTAGGCGGCGCTCGCGCCGCCGCTCCTCGACAGCAAGCAGATCCGCGTCGCCGCCGCCGCCGCGCCGGCGTCGACGTCCCGCGCGCGCAGCTCCAACAACCACCGCGCCACGGCCAGGCCGAGCGCGCCCGTGCCGCCCGTGATGACCAGCACGCCCGCCGGCGGCGAAACGTCGAAGGCCGACGCCGCGTGGTGCCGCCGGCCCGGCCGGAGCCGCGCGACGGTACGCGACCCGTCGGCGAGTC